TTTTTTAAAAAAAAAAAAAAAAAAAAAAAAAACAAATTCATTGAGTCTCAGTTATTAATAAGCAAAACTACTCAACACCTCAGACACAACAATCATACCTCCATCCTGCCTTGGAATCTCTTACAATTTAAATTTAAAAGTGTGAAGGACAAAAAGGTCAAAATCTAAACCTGGCAAAACAAATCTATTTCAGTATTTTTAAAATGTGTACTTCAATAAAATAAATTAAATGGTTTATAAATTTATTATTTGTTATTTGGAGTTTTAAATAAAAAATTACTTAGATCTATTTTGCTGTTTACATTCTGCATATTAGACATATGTTTATATACATCTATCCAGTTGCTCAAACAAAAAACCTGAATTACTATAAATTTAATCCATCAGCAAAGCCTATCTACACTGCCTCCTAAATACAATATCCACCCACTTCTGTCCATTCACCTCTGCTGATGGTGGCAGAAGAGTGCTCTAAGACACCCCATCTTTCTCCTAGACTGGTGCAATGATTTCCTAATTGGTAACCTCTTGCCCCCTTACCATCTACTCTCCAAACGGCACCATGTCAGATCCTGCAATTTCCCTGTTCAAAATCCTCCAACAGCTTCCCATTCCACCTAGAATAAAATCCAAACCCCTATGAGGTCTGGTTCTTGTTGTTCTCTTCCAATCCATTTCGTCTCCCTCACTCACTTCACACCAGCCACTTCATACCTGTCTCTTTATGCCTCAAAAATGTCCTAAATGATGATAACACCAAGGTCCAGGGTTCAATCCCTGTACCATCGGCCAGCCACAAGGGGGAAAAAAAAAAGGTCCTAGATCTTGTGATTGGCTCTCTCTAGTTGGTCGTTCACTTTGGGCTCAAATGTCACTTCTCTAGAAAGGCTTCCCCAACCCCATCAGGTCTCTGTTCACATAACAGTATTTTCTTCATAGCACTTATTATTCCCCGATACTTTCTTGTTAACAGATATATTTTGTTCATTGTCCATCTCCCACCATTAGCATGAAAGGCCCCAAATAAGAGAGCAGGGATGTTATCTGTCATTCACTTACATGCCAGTTCCTAGAAGGGGACCTAACACATTACAAGGCACTCAATAAATACTACTTGAGTAGATTACATATAAATCATTTTGCTGCTGTAGATATATGAGGGTACTTCAAAAAATTCATGGAAAAATTGAACTAAAAGATAATATGAATCTTTCCACGAACTTTTTGAAGACCCCTCACATTAGTATTCATACTAGAGATTACCTCAATTATAGATTTATACTGAGATATAATTTAACCAAACTTGATTGAAAGGAAAATACTTTAAAAATAATTATAATGGGAAATCTTTTAAAGCTCTCAGAAGTATATAATAAAAACTCAAAGCATTATCAACAAAAACATTAACTTTTTTTTAACATAGTGCCCTGTGTTAAAATATAGCAAACAGAATAAAATGAGAAAATTAAGAAAATGTTTTTTTCTGGCTTATCGTCCTAAAAGTAATCTCTAACACAGCTACAGTTACTAAAACTCTCAAACTCTCTTCCATTATCTTTGAAATATACCTTTATTTAGCATGTTATTTCCTAGAAAAATAACATAATCTTTCACAAACTTGAAAATATTTTAAGTTAGGCCTATTGAAGACACCAGAGCATTACTAACCTTATCCATCCCGTTCTAAATGTCCTATAGAATATTAACAGTACATGACTTGGTATGCTCAGAATCCATTCACAGAATGAAACAACAGAAATCATCAATAAAAAGGTAATAAACAAGAAAAGAAGAACATGAAACTATGCTTTTTGTGTTGCAGTACTGAGATGCACTGTTGAAATATTTCTGTTCTGGCTTGTTTTTAGAATGCCATGTACATGAATGGCAGTCCCAGAACTGGAACCCTAATTTCTAAAATGTTGTCTTCTTATAAGTCCCTTAGGACTTACTGTTTTCAGACTAAATGTTCTTGATACTTTAAAAGGTATTTTTTAACTATCATTTTATAGACCAAGGCACACAGGAACAAAATTTTAAATACCACAGAAATACAACCAGGAGAAATTTGTAAACCCACTCAGAATAACCCTTAAGTATAGGAAATATAACCAATCCATCTTCAAATTCACAGAAATAATCTTCCTAAAACAGATCTGCCCCCTCCCCTTCTCAAAAATCTTTTTTGGCTCCTCTTGCACACAAGTCACATTCCAAACCTCTTCAACTAAATGTTCAATATCTTCTATAATTTGGTCCTTAATGAACTTTATCTCTCCCCATATCCTCTCCTCCCTCAATATACACCCATAAAAAAGTCAGACAAACTGTATTGTTTAATAGCTGCTCTTAGAACATTCTCTGTCCTTTCCCACATCTGTATCTTCAAACTCTTCCTCATGTCTTATATTTCTCTTCTGCTGTATAAACTCCTGTTCCAAATCTTGTCTGCCTTTCAAAATTTGTCTCAAATCCTACTTGCTCTAAGCAGCTATATAAGATCTCCCCACAAAATACTATCTACCTTTCTCACACCATCATAGGACTTCTTTTGTACCTAATAGAACTTAATATCATCTGCCTTACAGCATAATTATTTAAGCATGTTTATCACCACTGTTTTCTTTTTTTGTATTCCCTCATTAACTAATACAAAACAGAAATTAAAATAGTTGTAAATGATTCTGATTGTTCTGTGTAGTGTCCAACACAGCATCTAAGTATGAGACACTCAATAAATGTTTGCCAAATAAATGAATCTTATTTCCCAATCTAATAAATCCTATTCAGAGCAAGAAAATAATTATCTATATTTTTATTAGATTAGTTGTAGTAAAAATTAGGTATCTAAGATAATGAGAAACTTACCAAAGTATATTTGAATCCTTTGGGAGAGGGCTGAATTGTTAATTTTATACATGCGGGAAGCAGGCTCAAAAATGTAAAACAAAAGCTAGAAATTTAATAAAAAAAATATTTGTTCTCTTTGTAGAGGTAAATCTAGCTAAAACAAAGAAATATTTTTAAAAATTTAAGGATCACATTATTTATCAACTTAAGTTAATTTCAAATTAAAGTTTATTTTTATTTATTAAATTTAAGACCAAATAACATTTAAATAAAAGATATACACTGAAATATGCACTTTTATATATGATTACATGATATAATACAGAATAAAACATTATAATAATGCTTACATTACTTTAGTATTTAAAATCATCTATAGAAGTGATAAAAGATATATAGCTGAAGGTTAATTATGAAACTCAAAATAAGAAAACATAACCACTTATAAAGAGACAATGCTATATTTGTAACACAAACATTCATAAACTTTATTCCCAAGAGAGTCTCTCTAGCCCTCATTTCACAAAAGTAGATTATCTGATTTTCAAGCCCACGGTAAATCAGAAGTTGGAAAGGGAGCAGGAAGCTACTAGAGCTGACGGCTGATGGAGGGAGGGAAAAAGAACTAGGGAACAGAGACAGACTCAATAAGCAGAACAATCTGGAGCCATTTAGTACCATGGCAAACAGGCTTTGAAAACCCTGAAAATAAGTATATAACCTAATAAATAACTGATCTTCCCACCCCTGGTAACTTTGGCTAGGCTGAATTAAAGTACCCAGAATTCCCTTCCTGCAGGCTTCATATTAGGGTGGGCTACCAGAGATATTCTCCCAAGAGTTGGAGGACAGAGGGAAGTACTACTCATCTCCCAGTTATTCAAACACTAATCTGGATGCTGTTATGAAGGGATTTTGCAGATGTACAGTCCCTATTCGGTTTATTTTAAATTAATCGAGAGGGAGATTGTTCTGGGGGGCCTTACGTAATCAGTTGGAAGCCCTTTAAAAGAGGATTTAGGCCTTCCCTAACAGCAGCTGGGTCTGAATAGTTCTTCTTTCCCCCTAAATATTCCTTCCTGATTGCCTACCTTGTGGACTTCCGGTTTGCTTAGCCAGCCTTTACAATTGCATAAGCCAATTCCTTGTAATAAACTGGTGTACACACATGCACACACGCGCGCACACACACACACGCACCCCTCAGTGATCTCCTACATATTCTATTTTTCTGATTGACCCTGACTGATACACCACTGAAAATCATGATTCTTCAAGATAATGTTAAATCATGTTTAGCGTACTCTCTGTTTAAGAAGAGAATCAGGCAACAATTCATAAACACTTTCACATAAAATAATTCAAATAAAAGAGTTTTATTACATAGAGGATTAGGTTTAAGTTATATGGAATATTCACTAATGAAGAATACCTCATTCCCTAATGATGTCAAGTAAATAAAATATTACCATAATACTTTTAGAGAGTAGCTTACGAAACACTATATACAAACTCTATGCCTCTTACCTGATTATTATCTGGATATGATGTGGCAAAATATCCTTAATCTTCAGAAAGACACTGAAGCTGCACCAAATATTGGCTACTTTATCCTTAAAAGAGATTTGTTAGTTTTACATTATGTATAACTGAAAGGTACACGAAACCTCATGAAGTAAAGCCCATAATCTCTAATAAACTTTTGAGACATGTGAAACTTTTATTCACAATTATAACTAAGTAGATTAAACCCTCCAAGGAATAAACATAGACACATGCATACTCTCAAGCATTTTTCATTTTTTTGCACTGGGGTTGATCTAAATCATTAGCCAACCATAATCTAGACATTCCCAAGAAATACTTAATATTTTTTAAAAAGCAGTACACTATTCCTAAATACTAAAGTTATTAATCTTTGGAAATTCTTCTAAGAAATCTTTTTATTTTTTCCTAATTTGTAGAATACATATTACATCTGATTCACTTTATCACACACCTGAATTTATTTAGAGTTACCTACTAGCTGCTAGCAATGACAAGAGCTAATTGCTAATAAATCAGGAGGTTTAAAGACATTAGCAGTTGTGCTAGGATCACTTTCAAAATTAAATTTGTAACTACAGCTCTTGTGTTCATGAAACCCATCCTCTACACAGCTGCTTGACTCACAGCTGTGTAGGCATACCCTCAAGAAAGTAACTATCACTGACAACTGTACCATACCACTTTCCTCTGTCGGATCAAAGAAAATGCTCTTCAGATTTTGAGAGCAACAAGTGAATGAAAGAGACTGGCAATTCCATCAAACATATCTGATACTCATTTTTATAACTACCATGATAAATACCATTTCTGAAATGGAAGATAAGGCAAATAAAAAGGCAGCTTACATGGAAAATTAAACTTTTCTTTATATAGGTGTTAAAGTTAGAGGATGTAAAGAAGGGATTAGGAGCACAGTTTTCAAAGTTCAAATCACTGCCACATACTAGTTATATGAATCTCTGACCTCAGTTTTCTTATCTGTAAAGTGCGGATAACAGCTACCTCAGTGCTATATAAGGATCAAATAACATTATATGGAAGTGTCTGGCACCTAGTAAGTGGTAGTGATAACAGTGATGATTATTATTATCAGTATCATGACTACCATCATCCCCATTAACACACAGCCATATATTCCTGTTTCTTCACAACACCAAACTCCTTTCTTATCTCTTTCAAAATGCTGGTTCCATACTCCTATAAGTCCATTGAAAAATATTCTATAGTAATTTATATATTCAAAAATTAGATTGCTATTCTAATTATTTTTAAATGTTATTTAAAAGCAAATTAATTATAAATATGTTGTCTCTGTCTAACTTTACTAAAAGGCCTTTTTGTTTCAGAAAAATGGTTTGTTTAATTTAATTACTAAATCTAAATGATCAAATTATTCATGTAATAAAAGTTTAACAAGTGATTAAACTAGCATTAAATGAAAGATTCTCATTAAAAATGATCATGGGTGAAGATTATATTATCTCATAAGAAATTATGAGATCTTTCTGAAGCAAACATGATTATTAGTTTAACAAATAATTTCCTAAGACTGAAAAAGAGAAAATAAGCCAAAAAATTACAGAGCTGTTAACACTGCAGCTGCACTCACGCTGTTCTTTATTATGGACCCCTTTTCATTAGAAAAATGTATAATTGAATTATAGATCTGATGATGTCATAAATATTACCTATTGATATAATATACTAGAAAATGCCAGATGAGCTCAAGGTTATACACTGGATTAAATAACTGGCAAGAAATGACTGCAGGAGGAAAGCAGCTGAAGTTCCTATTCCTTGGTTGTCTTCTACACAAAATCCTAAAACGTCACAGGGAAGGTATAGTAATGGAAAGGAGTGAGAGGAAAGTTTATAAACATGCCTCAAATAATCCACGATCAACTGGGAAGAGTCTTCTTAGAACCTGCAAGGTTTGTTCCCTTTCTGTAAAAAATGGCAGCCAGCACAGAATGAAGGAAGCCATAACCGTACAGGATAGCTTAATTAACAACACAAACCTAGAACAAAAACAAAGGTAATCAGTAAGATAGGTTAGTAATTCCGAAAACTCAATCTGAGTCACACTGCATTTAATAAGTGAAAATGTATAGTAATGCTATATGTTACCAATATAGGTTTAGATGGGAGTCTACTCAAATCAGAGTTCCAAAATTCAAAACTGTTAAGAAGTGTACTTTTCTAACAAAAAGATTGCTATCACCATCCAACTAACATATAACTTAATGCCATTCCTGTGGGAATAAGGGAATTCAGTCATGAAGAAAAATATCAAATGGGATGTATTTCTAATAAGTATATGATAATAAGCTTTAAAGTGGTGAAATCCTACAGCAATGCTCTAACAAGCCAATCCACATTACCACAGTAAATATACATTGATCAGTATATTTCTCTAGTTAGGAAGATTTACAATAAAAGAATACAGAATATGACTTAATCTCTCTCTTCCCAGTCACCCTCTAGCCAACATATTTACAAGAAACCACCAAAAGGCAAAGTGAAAGATCACCTTCCTCCAGGTAAGTACGCAAAAAAATTTCTCTGAAGTAAATATTTGAATTCCAGTGTTTAAAATTCACTCACCCCTTTCCTTTGAGGCCTTTTTTAAAACACTTGCCAAGTAAAAAGCAAAAAAATGGCAAGGAGTGGTAAAGTTCCATCTGTTTATAATTTATAGCTAAGCAAAATGCCAGTGACCCTAGCAGGTCCCAGTCACAAGATACTCCAAGAACACCCCACAAGGCAAAACCAAGACTCACAGAATTATATATGTTCTAGTGTCAAGGAAATTATCTCAATAATTAAGAGATTTATCTTGCATTTTATAGAGCATATTTCTTATGTGATTTTTAAGATAATACGTAAAATGAAAGCTATTTCCAAATAGAAATAGAAAGTATTGGCATGATAAACAAATATGAAATTACATATAATATACAATTACATATATTAAATTTACTGCTAAACAGTAACTGATTTGTTTAGGTTTGAAAGAGCTCTTTAGATAGTTAAAACATAGTTTTGTTTCTACTGGACTACTTTACAATATTACCATAATAAAATACCTAAATCTAGAGAATAAAACAATGCTCTAACAGTAAGTTAAAATAAAACTTACTGAGATCTCTATACTTCCTCTATAATATGCATCGATAATATAAATTAATATGTGCTTGATTAGCAACTAATAACATTGTTAATTAAAACAACATCACAATCAGATTTTCAGTTAAAAATGGTGAACTGGGTACTCATGTTTATCTCCTCTCCTTCCAGAGACCCCCTTAAAATGATAAGAAAAGGAATTTTTAAAAGTATAAATTCACATCCTTAAATACAACAGGAGGATGAGCTACAATAGATAAAGATTTCAACACATTTCTGGAAAAAAGAAATGGTAACAAATAAAATAGGATAGAAGAAGCCACAGCTTAGAGAATGCATGGAGGCAGCTCAGGGAAGCAAGGAGCCAATCCGTCCCACAAGACCCTAGAGAACTTTGGAAACACCAAATACGTTGGAGTGCTTGAGTAATATGTGAAAAAGAAAACAAGGGAATTAACTGCAAATCCCAAGATATGGTAACAAATAAAATAGGATAGAAGAAGCCACAGCTTAGAGAATGCATGGAGGCGGCTCAGGGAAGCAAGGAGCCAATCCGTCCCACAAGACCCTAGAGAACTTTGGAAACACCAAATATGTTGGAGTGCTTGAGTAATATGTGAAAAAGAAAACAAGGGAATTAACTGCAAATCCCAAGATGGAGAACGAAAACCTCATCCCACTCCTTTGCAATGATGATCTGGCAGCCCCAGGCAAAACTGCAAATCCCAAGATGGAGAACGAAAACCTCATCCCACTCCTTTGCAATGATGATCTGGCAGCCCCAGGCAAAACTGCAAATCCCAAGATGGAGAACGAAAACCTCATCCCACTCCTTTGCAATGATGATCTGGCAGCCCCAGGCAAAACTGCAAATCCCAAGATGGAGAACGAAAACCTCATCCCACTCCTTTGCAATGATGATCTGGCAGCCCCAGGCAAAACTGCAAATCCCAAGATGGAGAACGAAAACCTCATCCCACTCCTTTGCAATGATGATCTGGCAGCCCCAGGCAAAACTGCAAATCCCAAGATGGAGAACGAAAACCTCATCCCACTCCTTTGCAATGATGATCTGGCAGCCCCAGGCAAATTAAAAATTTTAAATATGCTTAACAAAACAAATGAAATTTAATAGAAATGTCAAGTTAATCTTTCAAACCATAAAGCAAAAGACAGACATTCAGGATGGAGATAAGAGGTGTAACATCTGACTAATAAGTTCAAGAAAGAAGTGAGAAAATTATCAAAGAAATAATATGAGAATTTCTGGGCCGACCTGGTGGCGCACTGCTACAGTGCGCCGCTTGGGAGCGCAGTGGCGCTCCCACCGAGGGTTCGGATCCCACATACAGACCGGCCACTCACTGGCTGAGCGAGGAGCGGGGTCAACACCGAGGGTTGAGATCCCGTTGCCGGTCCCAGTCCGGTACGGGTGCAACACTGAGGGTTGTGATCCACTGCCGGTCACGAAAAAAGACAAAAAGGAAAAAAAAATAAAAATAAAAATAATATGAGAATTTCACAGAACTGAAGAACATGAGTTTTCAAAAGGAATGGACCTATACAGTGTTCAAAACAATTGTGAAGAACACCTATGGCTAAACAAATCATTATAAAATGTCAGAGTCCAAAAGATAAATAATAATAACAATAATAATGATAATAACAGCAACATGCTTAGTATCTCCCAAGAACTGTTTTAAGAGTTTTACAAGTATTAATTCACATAATTCTTGAAACAAGCTCACAAAATAAGGGTTATTATTTCCTCCATTTTTCAAATGAGGAAAGTATGTAATGATTAAAAATATGTCCCCACAAAATGATATAATCCCAAAAGCTTTAGAGTTTAATTCAAATCACAGGGGAGACACCAGTACAAGTTTACCAGAATGGCTAATATAAATGACAACTGGTAAAGACAGAGAGTATCTGGAACTCTTATTACCACTGCTAATGAGAGTTTTAACTTGCATACCATGCTTATAAACAATTTGCGATTATCTGAAATTGAACATTCACACACCCTATTATCTCAGCAATTCTACTCATAAGAAATATATTTATATGTACACAAAGAGATATTTACAAGAATGTTCATAGCAGCATTATTCATCATAGCCAAAACCTGGAAACAACCCAGATGCCTATGAGTATCAGAATTATGTGTATTAATGTATTGGAATATTATAAAGCAATGAAAGTGAATAAACTACTCCTACACACCTTATTCTTAACTTAAAATAGATACGTTAGAATGACACACAACTAAATAAATGTCTCACAAACAAAATGTTGAGGTCAATACATCAAACACAAAGGAATACCTACCATGTTGTCCCTTTATATAAAATTCAAAAAAAGAAGAAAACTAAACTTCAGTATTAGCAGTTAGCATGTGGCCACCTTTAAGAAAGGTGGAGTGAGAAGTATTTGGGAGATATACAAGGGTAGTGTTTGGATGCTGCAGTGTTCTATTTCTTGACATGAGTAATGTTTGCCAATTCACTGAGCTGCACATTTATGTTTTGCAGTTTTCTATGAGTCTCATATTTGAAAGTAAATATAGTTTTAAAAATCTGTTAAATGCTTTTTTTCTATTCTTTACATCACCGTTCTTGATATTATCAGAGTATTTGATAGCTATGATGCCACGAATGCAAAAAATAAAAATAAAAACTAAACCTTAATTGGGCAAGTATAGTAAAAAATATGATAAAAACAACTACAGATTTGAATCTTTTGCAAGTCCTCTGACAGACACACATTAATTTTATTGTAACTAAAACAGATTGGCATCAAAAGGAAAAGCTGTTAATTAAACAATCATGTTGCTGTGTAGTATGTCTTTTTTTTGAGAGAGAAGAACAGAAAGTAACATTTGGTACATGAGAAGACAAATTAGACATGTACAGATTTTTATCAATTTATCCTCTAAGATTTGTTTGTCTGACTGGTCCTCATTTTAGGTATCAAAAAAATATATACAAAAAAGCCACACAGATTTTAATTATTCAGTTTTAGTCTCCTGAGGCTTCCAACTACTAATATCACAGAAATATTTTGTTTTAAAACTCAAAAAACTGTAAGTTGATTTTCCTTTTTTTCAGTGTCAGATAACACTTACAAACGATAAAAAACATGAATTTTTAGAATTTAGAAAGCATAATCATACTCAGCACTCTTTTTCCAACTCTCAAGAAAGAACTAATCAGTTATCAACATTCTGTTCCCAAGCCAAATGTGAAAAACCAATCCTATTTCTAATAAACCTGTATTTTACCCTTCAAGTAAAAGCTTGGTGAAGAGAGTCTTCTAAATCATTGTGAAAATAGTTTATGTAAGCAAGCACCCCAGCAAATAAGACATACTGGATGACATTATACAATTTGAGCCTTGATTTCATAACATGCAACTGGCTTAATTTCTAAATTAGTAAAGGATACTGAAAATGTCCATAGTCGATAAGAATAAGGCCTGGATACAGCAATATGCATAATGCATTAGCAATCTGTAAGGAAAAATATTGTGAAATAAGAAAATAATGTTACTTGACTCAAACAAGTATGGTCTTCATTTAACACAGTAGCAAATGTTCCTCTTTTCCTGAGGGAAAATCGCATTAGCAATCTGTAAGGAAAAATATTGTGAAATAAGAAAATAATGTTACTTGAATCAAACAAGTATGGTCTTCATTTAACACAGTAGCAAATGTTCCTCTTTTCCTGAGGGAAAATATTATCAAAATATTTTCAAAATATTCCATTTTTATAAAACAACTCTTTAGGCACTGAAGTTTTCACGGAGGTGATATAGGACACTTTAGTAAAAAAAAGAAAAATCACTAAAAGGTATTTGTCAGAGGAAGTACTTTTAGATATACAAATCAGAGAAGTTAGTCTAATGATTAACCTATCTAAAATGACGTAAAAGAATATTTAATAACTATGAATATGAAAATATATAGTGACTTTTCAAAATGCCTTTCAGTTTAGTTATTCTCATATGTCAGGACAAAATTCAGATTTACCAGTTAAGCAATGAATTCATCATGATGTGTAGTTCTGCAGTACATAACTTCCAAAATTCAGTGCATCTTATTATTACTACAGGAGGGCTTTAAAATAATTACTGTAAGATAAGTTGATGTTTTCTAAATGAAAATTGATAGAAGATAAAATGTTCCTTATTATTCTATCTACTGCCAAAAGCATGGCTTCCTTAAGGTCTATACTTCATAGTTAAGCTAATAAAGAACACATTTCTGAGATGAAATGTCAGGCTGCTTTAAAACTTACCTTTTTCTTAGTTGAGCTTTCTTTTAAACAACAACAGTATAAAACCACTGCAGGTATGTAAATCAGCAAATCAGCAATTAAAACTGAAAAAACAAGCAATTTTAAGCATGAACCCATTTGGATCTACAACCACCCATTATCTGCCTCCCTTCCTCCAACTTTGAGAATGCTAGTAACACAAAGTTCCTACCCACTATCAGTAAGTCCTTTACACAATTAGCCCTTCTCAATTTCCTTCACCTGTGCCTAATTCCAATTGCTATGTTACAAAGGAGTCTCTTTTCTCTAACAAATTCACACATTTAATCAATTAGATGTATCCAACGTTCTCTCTTTGGCCTTAAAAATTAAGAATACTTAAAGCAAGGGAAAACAACATTTTTTCCCTCAATATCTGTATACTTCACACTTCAAATTTCCTTGTGCGAAGAATAATTCAAATTCAGTGATACACAGGAGAATCTTTTTAAAATGTTAATATTTATTTAAAATATATAAACTTTTGCTAATGCTTATAAAGAGCTTGAGAGGCCCTGGTGAGGAGGAAACTGAAAAAATTTTTTTAAAAGGCAATTCATAATTCTGAATGTGCAGTCCTTTTAGAACAAAGAAAAATACATTAAGTTCTTCAACAGTATAACATAGCTGTCCAAAGAGCCTATCTTTTTCTTGTACCTCACTAAATATAGTGCCCAGAAAAAGATAAGTGATAGTAAACTGACAATATTAGACACATGCAATATATGTTCAGCTCCAGATGCCACATTTAAGATGACACTGACAAACTGGAACATACCCAAAGGATCTCACTAAATATAGTGCCCAGAAAAAGATAAGTGATAGTAAACTGACAATATTAGACACATGCAATCTATGTTCAGCTCCAGATGCCACATTTAAGATGACACTGACAAACTGGAACATACCCAAAGGAGCACAACAGAAGCCTCAAAATCATAACAACATTCAACAAACTGGTCATCTAAGAAATAGCTAAAGTATTTAGGAATGTTTAACCTGGAGAAGGTATGACTTGGAATGTCTATAGGATGTTATGTATGTAAGGGATCAGACTTGTTCTCTGTAACCCTAGGAAATAGAACCTGGAATGACAGGTGGAAGTTCAATATAAGAATGAAATTTTTAATGATTGGGGCTCTCTGAATATAGAATAGGCTATCTATAAAAGTTGTGAATTCTCCACAAATACAGGTATTGGTTCAAAAGCTGAATTATTACATGGTGAGTATACAGTTCAGAAAGGATTAAAGCATTGGAGAGGGAAGAGGAGTAATGTGGGAGAGAGAAAAACAGGCAAGATAGATTATCCCTTGGGCCTGAGATTCCATGACTGGATGAACAGTAAAGAGAACAAACTCTGAATAAATTTAGACTAATAAAGGAAAAGTAACCACCTAGCATTAAAGTCTAAGTCATGTAAAGCTTTTACATAAATCTAAGCTTACTACTTTCAAGCTCCTAGAACAGCACATTACAGATGCTCAATAAACAGTGGTTGAGCATATTATTTAATTAGCAACAATACAATGTATGAGATACAACTACAAGGTTTACTTTAAGAAAAAGGTGAAATGGATTTGGAATTAAAATATTAAAGCAGTCACCTAAACAACTAAAGCTTCAATTTATAGCCATCTGAACTCAGGTAAGGTATTTGCCTCACTTAACTGTGCCTGATTCCCTAGCTTAAAATAAGGATAATAATAGTATTTATCTTATTTGCGTGTTCAAAGAATTAAGAGGAAAAAAAAAAAAGAATTAAGTGAGGTAATAAATGTAAAGCATCCAGAATTATTCCTTTCTACCCTTTTGTTTTTTAGCTCACATATATATTTAGTCTTGAATCATATATACATATATGTATATATGTGTAGTTATACAATTTGATTTTATTTTTTAAGGTTTAACAGATGTATTTCAAATACAACATGTTTTGTAGAAGTCCACAAGCTTTTCATCTCTGAAAAATGACTTAATTTTTAGGGTACAAAAATTCTGTCCTTCAAAAGAAATGTCCAAGGAAGGTTTTTCTATAGTTTCAAACTTCCTTCAGACCTTTTTCTACAGCTTCAAACATTCACTGTTTGACTGCTCCATGCCACCCAAGTCAAACCTGACATGAGTGAACCTCTTGATGTGTTCCTATCTTCCCCAAAAGAAAGTTTAAAAAGTTCTTCATAAATGCAGACCCCTAATGCAATCATCTAACACAAAAAAATCTTTAAACAGATCATTTCTTTCTTCATTTGATTAGCTAGGAGTTAATCATCTGTAAAGGCAAAGAAAAAACCACAAAGCATAACACTGGGGTTCCTTTTTACTCAAGATGTTTAACTACTCAAAATGACAACAATTACATCCTTAATAGTATAATAAAAGGAGTGGAAAACAGCAACACAATTAACAAAAGTGTAGATGCTAACTAAACCGAAGATTTTTTTAAGGGTTCTTTTTAAGGAGGAGGAAGGATTAGAAGCTTAGGGAAATCCAAAATTTAAAAAAAGAGAGAGAGAAAAAATAAAGGGAAAAAGAAGTCTTGAACTGCAACCACTCTGTTAGTCAACAGCGTGTCTCGGGCTGTAGGAACAAGATCTTGATCGTGATCTGTATCGACTATAATAAGGAGAAGGTGATCATCTTCTGTACCAGAAATCAGTCTTCATATCTGTTATACCCACGGTTATATCCTCTATCATAGTAAGAATGTCAGCGTCTGCCGCCACCTCCACTACCACCACCACCACCACCACCATGAGATGGTCTGCTCAGGTAGATGCCTGGTGTAGGTGTGTGTGCTCTCTTGGTGATACAATAACCCCCACAAATTCTTCTACCATCCAGCTCTTCCACTTGTCCTTTCCATAGCCTCCTTTGAGTCATCTATTCTTTCAACATACACAAAAGCAAATCCTCACGATTGCCCAGTTTGCTGATCATAAACCACACTGACACCACTCAATGGTCCATACGGAGAAAATACTTCACAAAGACCTCTATGTTGTGTACAATTTGAGGCCAAACACTCCAAGTCAGGTGTTGGGATCTGGATTCGCTCTGCTGCCTGCATGCCTTCTCCGGTTAGACACTGGAGGATGACTCCGGCTCCTTCATGGCCGGTATTCTGGTATATGAGCTATTTCGAGATCACCTCCTATGAGAGTGAGTATGGGATCTGGATCGAGTGTAAGTCTATGACAATGCCTCCTGGACCTTGACCTGGATTTTGATCTTGATCGAGAATGGGATTCAGAGCGTTGGGAAATCCTGGGTGGACTACGAGATCCTGACCTGCTCTCCGATTTTACACGAGCAGGAGTTCCCGTTGGAGATTTTGGCTGAGAGCGAGACTCCTTCATAAGGCTCGTCCCACCTTCAACCTCAAGGCTTTCGCCTTTAGAGACGCAACGCCGGCAGTTCCAACAGAGACGCGGCCGCTCATCTGCCCTCGACCTTGATCTCCTCTGCATCTCTCGTGTGGCCAGGCACTCCTCAGAACTAAATAAGGGACAGGTCTCGGCTCGGGGGCCAATGGCCTGCCTAATCCACCGGCTGACTGAACAGTGGGGAGGAGGAAAGAGTCGTCAAGAACAGCTGCCCCGCCCCACTCCTACTCTGTCGCAGGCTCCAGCAAAATGGCACCAAAGCCCCAGAAACTCAGCTATGCAATTTTAAGGACAGTAAGAACAATAACAGTACCTTCTATCAATTTGTCCAAAATGTTTAAAACAAATTTTATACTCAATACCTATTAGTCTTTTTACCTGTTGTACGCATGAAGAGCTTATGTGCCTGACTCTCGTATCCACGTGATGTATGGAGAGCAATCCAGTCTGGATTTATAAACTTTGCCCTGCAAATCAAAGCATATATACATGCACTTTATTCCTCTTCACTTTTAGCAATGGAACATTTGAGGACATATGAATTTATTTTCAGAATTGGCCATTGCTCTTAGAAAGTGATAGAGTTGATGTTTAAGCTTTACTCTATTTAATCATGTGAAACTGACTTAAGCTATAAACCAGCATCTGCCTTGCTCATCTTCCAACAAAACCATGTAATGTGTAACCAGAAGCCCTACCTTCACAATTCTTCCAGTGTAAAAACAATCTGATATATCATTTCATTTATTAAACACATACTTTGTGAAGAACTATATAATAGTATTGACAAGAGGATCATGTTTTACAATTTATAATCTTTTTAGTTATCGTAACAATTGGCTACAATAAACAGCTATTAGTCATAAATCATTGCATAAAACTAAACACAACTGTTAAATGAAATTTTCAATCATATTACATTACTCTGAACACTGCAAAGTATAACTGATTATTATGATGTTTGGAAACTTATTTTCAATCCGTGAAGCTTATTATTACAAAATATGAAATAGTGTTAAAGTTCAAATAATAAAACAAGAAAGATGAATTCAGGAGGTACTCCAAAGAAGCTCCTCAAATTTTTGCTGAAACACTTCAAGTGTGAGATGGAATTACCACTACAAAGCAGAACTGGGACTCCACCAAAATAGAAGTTCCTCATCTTCTATAAACTATTCCATTTCTTTAAAGGAGGAGGAGTTCTAATCCTGATCTTAAATCATAAGTGAAATACTACAGTAATTCTAGTTTCCATCTTGACACATCGGTCATAATACAATTTGGACCTATATGGCTCATTTACGTTAAGCAATCCAGAAAAAAGATTTCCTACGCACAACTAACCCATATTAGATATATTTCTCAGTGGTTCATGCACAATTGGTAACATCTCTACTTCAAAACAAAGCTAGGTTTTTGCGTTTCTTTCTAGCTTGTCCTCCAAAGAAATTACAGAGATGTTCAAACTCTGATAGTTACTGTTCTTATAACCCATTTTTAACCTATAATACATTAGTAGCTCCATGCACTCTCTCCTCTATTCAACAAAACCACATCACACTGTTTCTTACTATATCTGCTAAGGGCATAAATATTTAGAGTTACATTAAGGAAGAAAAACTTACACATATGCACATAAGAGACTATGATAAGCTGTAAGAGGTGGGTAATCCAATCCCCAATACTGTAAATTGTTATCACTGCTGTTAAGATACCTGACAAAAAAGAAAGTACCATTCCATTAATCAATATTCAAAAAACAGGTGTATAACTTAACATCTATTTTAAATCGAGCTTAATAATTCAATTATTAAACTATTAAAAATCAAGCCATGACAACAGGCACAAACCAGGACTGTCCCAAACTAGGTTTTACTGTCACCTTATTATCAATAGACTTAATCAGTGACTCATGCAACAAAGACAATTTGTGTCTGTCAAACAAATTAGAGAAACCATATAAAAATCACAATTTTAAAAAATAAGAATTGAAGGGCCGGCCCAGTGGCACACTGCTACAGTGCGCCGCTTGGGAGCGCGGTGGCGCTCCCGCCGAGGG